CCGTTGCAGTTCCGCTGCTTAGTGAGTCATTTAACACATGACTGGTGATCCCCAAGCCCCAGCCAGGTGCTGAGCTACCTGCTGGAGGGCACGGGAAGCCGAGGGAGCCCCAGGCCCAGCCCTGCAAGGACTCGGGGAGGGACTGGAGAACGTCCAGCCCTGTAAGAACAGACACGCCTCTGGTCACCTCCAGGGCAGTGACCCACTTATTTCACTTTCAACTGCTATCCATTAAGTGGTGCATTTCTGACACTCGAGAATCTACTGGAGGTAAAACTATATGGTCCTTACTATCCTGGACACTCGGCATTGCTCACCAGCTTGCATGATCCATGCAACCCACCCAACCGCCCACTGGGTAATGAACCTATGAGTGCATGAGAAACAGCCAGAAAGTCCCTGCATTCTGTCCCCTCTCATTTGAGATGTCACTTTACCTCGTTCATCAGAGATGCTGCTGAGCCAGGAAATGTGGATACCCAGAGCTCCTCTTCGGAAAGGGACATGGTTTGAGTTGTGTCTGTGGCTCTGCGTCTAGAGTTGGGTGCGGTGTCAGGGAGCCCTGTGGAGCAACCTGGGGAACACAGGTCAAAGGGGAAACACTGGAGAGATATTCACAGGCAGGCTCTCCAAATACCCGGTCCATTACAAATAGCCACAGATAAGGATACAAGCTCTAACAAGATTAGAGACAGTCCCTTCTGGACACTAGTTCTGCCAACCAAACCCTGTCTTTGCTCTGTCCAGGGCCTTAGGTTCTGTGAAAGAGTTTTCCCTCAAGAAAGAAAGTGAAAGTGAAGTCGTGTCTGACTCTCTGTGACCCCATGGATGGTAGTGCGCCAGGCTCCTTCATCCATGGGATTTTCCAGGCAAGAATACTGGAGTGGGTTGCCATTTCCTTCTCCAGAGGATCTTCCTGACCCAGGGATTGAACTCTGGTCTCCTGCATTATAGGCAAACACTTTACCGTCTGAGCATATCTTTCCAGAGATGAGGGGAAAACAGTAAAATTCTTGTTCTCTCTCTCCCTCTATCTCTCAGCTCCACCTCTGCCTCCATCGTCCGCTCTCATCTCTGCCTGCATCTCTGTCATCCTCTCCATCTCTTATCTCCAGCTCTGTCTGCATCTCCACCTCCATCTCCACTTCCATCTCCACGTCCATCTTCTGTCCCCAAATCCCAGTCTCTCAAAGATGTACCTTCTCTTTCTCTCAGGATCTCCTCTTTCTCAGAATCAGCACAGAGGATTCCTATAAGAGTCAGGTGATACTCTCACCTCATTGATTTCCTTCTCTGTCTTATTCTGCGGTCACTTTGCCCCTGCCCATACCCCTACTTTCCTTTTCTGGAGCAACATGCCTCCTGCCCACACCTCTACCCTGGATCCCAATTTCCATCATAGGACTTCAACCATTATCAACATTCCCCTGTTCTTGGTTTAACTACACTTTCACCTGCTCCCTAGACTGACCCACTTGATTATTACTACTATGAATTTTACAGTTCTTTTTCACTGGGTATAATTTATACACATTGCAATGCACAAATCTTAGTGTACCACATTGACAAATGGATCCTCTATGTAACCCACACTGACATAAAGAGATGGAACATTTCCATTGACCCCAGAAAGTCCCAGTTATTTCCTCCCCACCCCTACAACCACTGTTTTGAGATCTGTCACCTTAGATTAGTCCTTAGAAAGTTCTAGAAGATCATGTAAGTGGAAACATATACTATATGTGCTCATTCATATCTGACTTCTTTCACCCACCATATCTATGGGACTCATCCAAGCTGTGTGTGTATCCAAAGGTGGTTCCTTTTTATTGTTGAATAGTATTTTGTATATTTATGAACATACAGTGTGTGTTCATCTTTTCTCCTGTTCGTGGATATTGGGGTTGTTTTCTGGATTAGAGCTACTATGAACAAAGCTGCTATGAATATTCTTAAACAAGTCTTGGTGCACATAGGTTTCCATTTATCTTGGAGTGGAATTGTTAGCTCAAAGGGAAGGTGGATGCTTCACTTTGTAAGAAACTATTTGACCTGGTTCCAAAGTGGCTATCCCATTTTACATTCCCACCAGCAGTGCTTGAGAGCTCTGGTTGTTGTGAGATGTTTAAAGTTTAGCCATTCTAGTGAGTGACTGGATCTCCTTGTGGTTTTAATTTGCATTTCATCTTTCATTTAATTTGCATGGCAATCTCAAGGTTTTTTTTCATGGATTTCTTCTTCATCTGTCTTCCCCTGTAATGGATCTGTTCAAATCTTTGCCCATTTTTCAAATTGTGCTGTTTGTGTTGATATTAATCCCGTGTGGTAGTTCTTTACATATTCCAGATAGATATCTTTTGACAATACATATTTTGCTAAAATTTTCTCCCAGTCCATAGCTTGCCTATTCATCTTCTTCTGGTAGCTTTTAATGAGCAGTTTTAAATTATGATGAAATCTAATTTATTGATTTCTTTTTCTTCCTCGGTTATTGCCATCTCTGTCAACCTCCAGGTCACAAAGGTATTCTCCTATTTTTTTCTCCTAAGAGCTTTATGGTTTTCACTTTTATGTTCAGGTTTTGCCCGTGATCCATTGCAAATTCATTTTTTTGTTGATGGTATGAGGTGGGGACAAATTTCATTTTTTTCTATATGAATATTCAGTTATTCCAGCACCACTGGTTGCAATGGCTTCCCTTTCCCCCGTGGACTAGTTTTGGTGTTTTTGTCAAAAGTAGTTGTCTGCAGTTACTGTTAGGCTTGTGGGGTTGGTTACTAGGGATAGTGCTGTGATTTCCTGAAAGTCTGACTTCCAGAGAGAGGGTTGGCTTCCTGGGCTGGTGGTTTCTCAGGCTGGTTGCTGCAAGTTCTGGGTCAGAGTTCTGCTTTTATACATGTCTGGCTGTTGACCATTTATACACATGGTCAGTGTCTCATTCAGTGTCTCATCTATTACAGACATTTGCAAACATGTTTATAGTAGAATAAACAACTTAAGTAAGATAGTAAGATAATCAACTTCCATACATCCATCTTCCATAAAAAGATTTTATAACCTTCAACATTCTGTCTTATTTGATACGGAGGTTCATGTTTTCATGTATATCATGCCATTGAGACATTTTATCCCTGTATGTGATTTCAAGATGTACCTCCATTCTCATTAAAGACGCTTTCTTCTGTGTCCACAGTATCTTCATTATACCAAATACAAGATATTTTTTTTAGACACACCAAAGGGCTTGTGGGATCTTAGTTCCCCAACCAGGGATCGAACCCAGGCCCACAGCAGTGAAAGCACCAAGTCCTAACCTCTGGACTGCCAGGGAAGCCCCCAAATACACATTTTAAATCCTTAGTGGCATTTAACATCCAAACCAAAGCCAAACTTCCCTAAAACTATCCCAAAAATGTACTGGTTGGTTTCTTCTAGTCAGAATCCAGAAAAGGAACATATTGTATTTAGTTATATTTTAAAATTTTCCTTACTAAAATATTTTACTGATCTTTTTTTTTTTTTAATCCCTCTTCCCCTTTTCCCTTTGTTAACCATAAGTTTGTTTTCTATGCCAATGGGTCAGTGTCTATTTTGTATTTAAGCTCATTCTATCAATTTTTTAGATTCCACGTATAAACAATATGATATTTTCTTTCTCTGTCTGGCTTACTTCTCTTGGTATGCTCATGTCTAGGTCCATGCCATTTTACTGATCTTTAACACATGCATGTGAGAGTAGCCATGTCATAGTAAACAGCCCATGTAACCGTCTGGGGCCAGATAGAGAGTTGGATCATGATGGCACTCCAGAAGTTTCCGTCTATCCCCCTTCCGGTCACCACCCCAGCTGAAGGTAACCACTACGCGGCACTGATCGTCTTACACATTTTTGAATCTTCTGTAAATGGAAGATAGCATCTGGCTTCTCTTGCTCATGTTTGGGGTCCTGCACAGACAGACGTAGGGTTCATTCTCTCCTCATGCTCTGGAGCCCCAGGCCAGGCTTCCATCCTGGCGCCAGCCTGCAGCCTCACCTTCCCTAGTTCTGTGCAACAGATATGGATGCATCTCCACGCACTACACCTGCCTCCTGACACCCCAGAAGTGGCCTCCAAGGGAAAAGGACCTCCATCTCCCTTCTCAAATTGCTCCCCTGGGGGCTGAGCCAACATGCAAATCCATGGAGAGTCTGGGAGGCCCGCACCCCAGACCTTCCTTCCACTGACTCCTCCCAGCCCAGCCCCTCAGGGCTTCAGTCCTCATCCACGCAGCCCAACTTCCCAGTAAATTCACTGCTGTGTACAGAAATCTCTCCCATCCTGCTCACAAAAAGGGATATTAGTAAATGCTATTTGAGAGGGGCCTGAGGTGCCCCAAAAGGAAACACAAAGGAAGAGGAAGAATGTGGGGCACCAGGAGCGGAGACCGGGAGGGAGACCAAAGACCAGGGCCGTAACTCAGTCTAGATCACACAGCTAGAAAGTGGTTGAGTCTGAAAATAAGATGCCATTTCGTAAATTGTAGCTTTCATTTGTTCTTTTAAAGGACATCATTGTTCCCTGATTTAAATAATAAGGACAGTTGATTAAAGTGTTAGTCGCTCAGTCGTGTCTGACTCTTTGCGACCCCATGGACTGTAGCCCGCCAGGCTCCTCTGTCCATGGAACTCTCCAGGCAGGAATACTGGAGTGGGTTGCCATTTCCTTCTCCAGGGGATCTTCCCAACCCAGGGATTGAACCCAGGTCTCCTGCATTGCAGACAGATTCTTTACCATCTGAGCCACCAGGGAAGCCCATTTATCTTTCACATGGGGGAAAAAAAAAAAAAAACAGCTTGAGAGGATTCTTATTTTTGTAGATCTCAGCTGCTTTTCCTTTTGACTTCAGCACTGAGAACCAGGCTGGAGACGGATGCTGAGAACAGGAAAAGTATGTGAGGAGTCCTCGCCCTTGCTTCTGAGTTGCCGGTACCAGGAGCCCAGGCCATAGGAACGGTCACCATGGAGGCCCTCCCCAAGGCCCTGGAGGTCGAAGAGAAGTCTCCCGAGTCCAAGGACCTTTTGCCCAGCCAGACGGCCAGCTCCCTGTGCATCAGCTCCAGAAGCGAGTCCGTCTGGACCGCCACCCCCCGGAGTAACTGGGAAATCTACCGTAAACCCATCATTATCATGTCCGTGGGTGGTGCCATCCTCCTGTTCGGTGTGGTCATCACCTGCTTGGCCTATACCCTGAACCTGGGCGATATGAGCCTCAAGGTCCTGAAGATGGTGGGGCCTGCCTTCCTGTCTCTGGGACTCATGATGCTGGTGTGTGGGCTGGTCTGGGTGCCCATTATTAAGAAGAAACAGAAGCAGAGACAGAAGTCAGTGTTCTTCCAGAACCTCAAGTCCTTCTTCCTGAACCGTTGATGGCAATCTTGCCCTCTGTCCACCCCACCACCCCGACCCCTTGTCCAGGAGAAGGTGTCATGGCCAAAGTCCAACATCTCTGGTCCCTTGGGTGGTGGAGTCTGCCATAAAACTGATGCAGGCAAACCCTCTTCTGGGCCCCATGGGAAAAAGCAAGCTCAGGGCTGCGCCCTCCGTGTGGCTGGGAGGCACCGCTGGATGATCTCATTTAGTCTCTGTTATGTCTGACGCTTCCCCCGAGATCCTGGCCGCAGCCGTCGCCTTCCATGGCTGTCACCCCGGCCTGTGCATTCAGGTGTCACTCATCTAATGAACGTGCTCTGCCAAGCGCTATGCATGCTGGGAAATTCCTTGAGATGGACTATCCCCCGAGAAGAACCTCCTGCTTACATTTCTGAGTGCCTGAACTGGATTCTGCATTTACTTCCTTCTAGAACCCAGACTGACCAGCAGAGACCCTTTGCAGAGAGGAGGGAAATCCTGGCCATTGAGCTTACCCACTCCAGCTCTTTCTGTGGGCAAGATGCTGGCTTGTATTTCAAGAGATCAGATAAGTCACAAGTACCAAACATTCCAAAGAGTGAGAAGTGGCTGGGAGAAACACTTTCCAAGAAGGCACATTCTCCCCTGGAAATGGCTCTGGGAGTTAGGTGGAGAAGCAATTTAACCCTCAGTTATACAGTATTTGCACCAGAGGTGGCGGCATGCGCCAGGGGGTATCACAGTCTCCCCTTGACCTTCTAACTCCTTCTCTGTGACTACTCTTCCGTCTGAACTGGACACTTAGCCAAGGACAAGCGCATGTTGCCCTAACTTCCTTCTCCCCTGACCCCAGCCTCTACCCCACGATTCTGGAATAGCCGGGTGGAAAGCCTCCGCGGAGGGCTGCGGTAAGCGTTTGCTCTGCTTCACCCCTATCGAGAATCACAACCCAGAGATTCGACTCCACAGCTGAGTGTCTGGAGGTTTCCAGAGATGGTTTTTACTTCAGAAAGTCCCAACTTCTGCTCTCCCAGCCCCCACCCACCCACACACAGACATTCAGTGAGGGCTCAGCTCGGGGCCAGGCCCCGGGATGGAGCAAGCTAGACAGACAGCCGGTCCCTGCATTCATCTTCCACATGAAGAGAAAGACGCGGCCAGGCCAACAGGTGGCCAGACACGGGTGCTGAGTCCTTTCTGGGCAGTGAGGGTGGGGGCAAGAACATGGCGGGCGGGCGGGGGGTGGTCTGCTCTAGCTGAAGGCTGTGCAGCCGACAGAACCAGCAGAAGGGGAGGAAAGAGGAGAACGGGCACAGGCAGGAAGGGAAAGCATTTGGCGGGAACAGTGTGCAGAGCTGGGGGAGGGGAGCAGGATATGACTGGGACACCGTGGAGCAAGTTCCCTTGTCTGGAATGGTCGCCCGAGCTCCTCCCTTGGCCTGCTCCTCACCCTGCCTCCTGCTTCCCCAAGTGCCTCACTGCAGCTTCTCCTCGAGGCCCTCCTGGGTCTGTGGCAGAGACTGTGTAGGGGGTTCCCTGGGGCTAACCACACAGAAATCACCCATGAGGTAAGTGCTCCCCAAACCAGGGGCGTCCTGCAGCATCCAGAGGTGGCCAGACCAGGAGGGTACCTGTGAGGAAGCCAGGCTCCCACAGGCCTGTGGCCCAGTGGACAGCATCTAATTACCAGGGAAGGGTCACCTCAGCCTTCTGCCCCCGCCTCCACCTCGGCCCTTGACTGCGTCACTGTGGCAGCCTCTCTCTAACAGGCCTCCAGGTGTTTCCATCCTTATGGGGGTGGTTCTATATGCAGAGTCAGGACACCACCTTGTTCGCTCTGCATCATGGGAAATTCTGTGGAGGCAGGTACCTGTGATGGGGACACTCCCCTGCCCCGCCCACCGGAGGACCCAGAGTTTGGGGACTTTGAGCCAGCATGACCATGTTTCTCATTCAGACAACACGGTCACCTGGCCCCTGCACACAGGCAGTCAGGGCCCATCATGGGGCCTCACCAGTCACTATGTCACTCACTGTGGTCCCAGCACCTCAGGTGGCTTACGGATGGTTTCTGACATGAAAGCAGATTCCATAACGGCCCTACCCTGTCACTCTCAGAGTCCTCTATGCTTTCCCACCTAGGAGCAAGCAGGGAGGACTCCTGGCTGGCTTGATGGTCATCCACATGTCCCAAGTCTCATTTCCTCCCCTTGCAAGCTTGTCATCTGGGCATTGCATGGGACGGAGGCCAGGTGCATGTTGCTACCACCTGTTGTCTTGGCAGAGGGCAGTTTGGGGACTCAGTCCAGTTTCTGGACTCACCTGGAAGGCTCCCACAGTCTCGCCCACATTCCCTAATTCTTAAGCTAGTTTCTCAGTAAGAAGAATGAGGAAAGATTCCAAGCATCATTCACCACCCTTCTCTTCTGGGCTTCCCCATATGACTGTGGACCAAGGAACATGCCTGGGTCAGGCTGAGGGGCTTTTGCCAAGGATCGTTAACACATGGAAGTCTGAGGAATGCATGTGCCTGGTCAGATGCCATGTTTCTGGCAAAAAAAATCCCCACCATGCCTCCTTCCATGCCATGGATGCAAGGTCAGGACCAGCATCCATGCATCTGGCTACTGGATTATATTATCCTACCCATGGCTGTTCTGTTTGGGAGAACTCCATTTAATCTAAGTGCTGAAAAAACTGATGGGATGTTAAATTGTATCCTGTTTGACAGTGTCCACTGTGTTTTCATTCCGTTCCATCAGGAATTGCAGACTCTTCCACTAATTCATTCCTCTAAAATGCCCCTCACCCTATCCCATCACCACACGCCCTCCCCAGCAATGTGCTATCTGGGAGAAACGGACTGTGTGGGATTTGTGTCTGGTTCCTCGGGGGCCCCGTGGGAGCTGATGACCCCACTCTGAAATGCTGAAAGACCAGACCAGACAGAACAGAAGCTCCTGTTTCCCTCCCCGCAAGCCTGGTCTTGAGAGATGGAAAAAGAACCTTCCTGAATGAATCAGTGGTCCAGGGGAAGAGACTGGACTGCCTGGCACCATGTCTTACAGGAAATACAAATAACATCTCATTTAAGCCACTATTTTTTGGGTCCATTACTTGCAGCCAAATAAAATTCTTATTTACACACAGGTGACAAGTCTGGGGATAGAGTTATTTTCTTCCTCTAAGCCTCTATGTTCTTTTCTTCCACTACTTGATGAGACCCAGAACTGATGTATTTAGAACAAAGACTTTCACAAATAAGCTCCAAATCAGTCCAGTGTATCTTTCCTCCAAATCCTTCCAGGATTCATGGCATCTCTAAGGAGAGAGACACGGGAGGGGAAAGCCAGAGCAGAAAGACCACGACGGGGCTAGACTTCCTGTCCCCCTGTCTCTGGGGATCAGGGACCTCCCTCAGCCTGGGCATCGCGTGGTGGGCATGGAAAGAGTGGCGTTCACACAGGGCACCTGGAAGCCTCTGTGACCAGTCGGGCTGCCCCACCTACTCTAAGAGCTGAGGCAGGGGTGGGTGGGAGACGGTGGTTGGTTTATAGAGGGTTCTATAACCTAGAGTCATTAATGGGAGGAGACACCTAGACACTCAGTTCTCTTTCTCCCAGGTTTCAATCCCCGCATTTGTCAAAATTAAAGTGACCCAAGTTCACAAACACAGAGGATTCTGTATTGATCAGGAGCACAGATTCTAGAGACAGCCCACCTGGGCTCACGTCCCATCTGGTCTTGCCAGGTCTTTGACCCTGAACAGCTTACTTCATTTCTGCAAGCCTCCATTTTGGTGTGTGTGTGCTCATTTATTTTTAATTTTTCTATTGAGGTAATAATAATTTAGGGGCTTCCCAGGTGGCTCAGCGGTAAAGAATCTGCCTGCCAATGCAGGAGACACAGGAGACATGGGTTCAATTCATGGGTCAAGAAGATCCCCTGGAGGAGGAAATGACAACCCTCTCCAGTATTCTTGCCTGGAGAATCCCATGGACAGAGGAGCCTGACAAGTACAGTCCATGGGGTTGCAAAAAGTTGGACATGACTTAGTAACCAAACAACAAGTATTCCATTGCATATATACCGCATTTTCTTTATCCATTCATCCACCAATGGGCACTCAGGCTGTCTCCGTATCTTGGCTATTGTAAATAATGTCAGAATGAACATGGAGGTGTAGATATCTTTTGGGATTAGTGTTTGTTTTCACCCATACTCCCATCTTCACAACTGCAAATGGGGTTAATAAAAATGCCTGCCTCTTCCTGAACATTAATTGAGATAATCCACATAAGGCTTTTATGTATTAAGCCCTAAATATTAGTCTTTATTAATGTTAATGGACTACACCAGGCAGTATATTCTCCTGAATGGTTTTGCATAAGGAAAGAATGCAAGTCTGTACAACAAAGTGTGAGCTGATTGGGAAAAGAGAATTGAGTTGAGGGGATCACCGTGCACTGTGCTGGCTGGTGACTGGGGTGCCTAACACCACCAGCCAATAGTTTCATTCCGACCTTTTTCACTCTTGCCTCCCCTCTGCTCCACAGTCCCTCCCAATCAACTGTGTATGCCTGCTAAGTCGCTTCAGTTATGTATGACTCTTTGTGACCCCATGGACAGTAGCCCACCAGACTCCTCTGTCCATGGGGATTCTCCAGGCAAGAATACTGGAGTAGGTTGCCATGCCCTCCTCCAGGGATTCTTCCCAACCCAGGGATCTGGCCCATGTCTCTTAAGTCTCCTGCATTGGCGGACAGTTCTTTACCTCTAGGGCTACTTCCCAGTTCAGTTCAGTTCCATCACTCAGTCATGTCCGACTCTTTTCGACCCCACGGACTGCAGCACACCAGGCTTCCCTGTCCATCACCAATACCCGAAGCTTGCTCAAACTCATGTCCATCATGTCGGTAGTGCCATCCAATTGTCTCATCCTCTGTTGTCCCCTTCTCCTCCCACCTTCAATCTTTCCCAGCATCAGGGTCTTTTCCAATGAGTCAGTTCTTCCCATCAGGTGGCCAAATATTAGAATTTCAACTTCAGCATCAGTCCTTCCCAGTGAATATTCAGGACTAATTTCCTTTAGGATTAACTGGTTGGATCTCCTTACAGTCCAAGGGACTCTCAAGAGTCTTCGCCAACACCACAGTTCAAAAGCATCAATTCTTTAGTGCTCTGCTTTCTTTATAGTCCAAGTCTCACAGCCATACATGACTACTGGAAAAACCATAGCTTTGACTAGATGGACTTTTGTTGGCAGAGTAATGTCTCTGCTTTTTAATACACTGTCTAGGTTGGTCATAGCTTTTTTCCAAGGAGCAAGTGTCTTTTAATTTCATGGCTGCAGTCACCATCTGCAGTGATTTTGGAGCCCCAAAAATAAAGTCTCTCACTGTTTCCATTGTTTCCCCATCTATTTGCCATGAAATGATGGGACCAGATGCTGTTGCATCACTTTAGCACCACTTGGGAAGCCCTAATCAAAGCCTGCAATTTCTATCTCTCAAGGATGGCCATTTCCTTGGAATGTAAGGAGGTCAAACCAGTCAATCCTAAAGGAGATCAACCTTGAATATTCATTGGAAGGACTGATACTGAAGCTGAAGCTCCAATACTTTGTCCACCTGATGAGAAGAGCCAACTCTTTGGAAAAGACCCTGATTCTGGGAAAGACTGAGGGCAGGAGGAGAAGGGGACAACAGAGGATGAGATGGCTGGATGACATTACCGACTCAATGGACATGAGTTTGAACAAA